AAGCTAGATAAGCCCAGGAAGAGGGGAGGGCGGTCTGTGAAGAACAAGGACAGAGAGGAATAAGCTAGATAAGCCCAGGAAGAGGGGAGGGCGGTCTGTGAAGAACAGGGACAGAGAGGAATAAGCTAGATAAGCCCAGGAAGAGGGGAGGGCGGTCTGTGAAGAACAGGGGCAGAGAGGAATAAGCTACCGTGTTTCCCCGAAAATAAGCCCTAGCTTGATTTTTCAGGATGCTCGCAATGTAAGCCCTACTCCAAAGATAAGCCCTAGTTACTATCCCATGGATTATACAGTAACTAGAATGAGATATGATTATATGTAAACAGGAAACAGGAAATAATATTTATTTAATATTTGAATGTATACACAGTACATTTTTGTTCATGAATAAATGTATTGTTAGATTGTTTGCATAGGAAGATACGGTTTGAAGAAGACATGATGTCTGTATTTGAATAAATGTGGATTTTTGTTCATGAATATGGTAGATGTGCTGTAGTTTGTTGTACATGGGAAAATAAGACATCCCCTGAAAATGAACCCTAATGCGTCTTTTGGAGCAAAAATTTAGAAAAGACCCTGTCTTATTTTCGGGGAACCACGGTAGATAAACCCAGGAAGAGCGGAAGACGGTCTGTGAAGAACAAGCTTTAGCTTCACGGAGTCACTGATCTGTGAAATTCATCCAGGATGTCATCATTACAGGAGAGAGCTGTTTGTGATGATAGATTGGTAAGACAAAGCAATGTGGCATGTAGCAGTGTACCAACAATTTATCCATTAGGGTTGTCTTTGAATTTTTCTTTTGTTTGTAACAGTCACTGTTTGTGCTGAAATGTAAGCCTTGTCTTATTTCTGCTAAGGCTGGATATTATTGGAAGAGTTTCTTCAAAGAAATGAGAAATTTAACTGAAAGCACTTACTGACTGTTACTAGTGCATATTATTACAGTCAGTTTTAGAAATACAGTGTAAAATACAGTTCAATAAGGATTCATTCTCCACAAATAGGGTTCTCAAGGTTCTAATAATAAGAACTGTGGGAGAACAAGCTAGCGGGAGGTTGTAATATATAATGAACCCTGATTCATTTGCATGGTTTATAACAGCATACTTATTAGTATTCATATTAGTGTTAAAGTTCAATCTGACTGCACTGGTGGTTCTGGAGACCAGGATTCGAGTCTCCACCCCAACTCTGTTTGCATGTTCTCCCCATGTCGTCGTCGGGTTTCCTCCAGTACTAGAACAGTATTTACTGCGGTCTCCCCTCACAGTCCAAAAACATGCTGAGGTTAATTGGAGTTACCAAATTGCCCCTAGGTGTGAATGATGTGTGTGTGAGCGCCCAGCGATGGGTCGCTGCCCCATCCAGGGATATTTCCTGTCTTGCAGCTATAGTTTACACGATAGTCTCCAGACGCTTGTGCCCCTGCACTGGAGAAGCAGGCACAGAAAATTGAATTGAGTCTTAGCCAAAATGTTTAAACAAGTAATTTAATATAGAAAAACTGAGAACTAAAATTTTGTTGCAATATCAGGAACCTGCAGCTTTAAGGTCCAGTTCCTGAAGACCTGTCAACATTGCACGCATTTGACGGTTACTGAAATATCGCATCATAAAAGATACAAAGCAGTTTTCTTCAGGCTATTTGTTCACAATATCCACGTAGCGCATGTAGAGGCTTGCATTAAACAAAGATAAGCATTCATTCTTGACAGGGTTCCCATTGTTCTGCACAGAGGGCTAAAACGTAACCATTTCGTAACTGACAGCTTAATTTAAGGTCAAGCTTTCTTTTCTGAACTTAGCATGCGCTTTCGGTTGTGCTTTAGGTATAAATAGGAAATAGGCAGTTCCTTCAGGGTCTTCATGACAGAAGTGCTTTAAATAGCTCAACTATCTTTTACAGAAAAAAAAAGTCACTCTACTCATCGTTTGTGTTTATCTTTAATGTGGTCAATGGCAAATCGTGACAACGAAGAAGTCTAATTTCAGATTTAAAGGGTTTTCCAATCCGATCCTCGGGGACGCAGAGTCAGTCCGTGTTTTTGCTCCTGCCCAGCACTGTGCCAGACAGTCCACATTCCTGCAAAAACATGGACTGTCTGTGAGTCCCCTAGGACCGGATTGGGAAACACTGTTATAGATATACCTGAGGAGAGGGTTAAAGAAACAAATTCATTTAGTCTGGAGTTCAAGGGTGTGATGGGATTGCACAGGATTTGCCCCCCCCCCCCACTCAGAAAATGCTCCAATAATAGAGTGACAGTCGGGTGTAATAAATGCTAAAATGTCGGAGAGAAAATTCACCCATCTCCCTGGACATGTGCCTTTGCATCGGACAGCTTGAGCGGTCTGAGAATACGGCTGGCTTTTCGAAGACCAAACCGACCAGAAGGCCGAGTTATACACTGAGTCATGTAGCCAATTAGGTTACATTTGCTCATATAATAACAGCACTGCTGGGCTGGGAACTTTGCTCTGCAGTTTCTGTAAATCCTGACTGCAGACATTCCCTCCCTGTGTCCCGAAACCCCTCCTAACATTCCGATGGCTCCATCTCAATAAAAGGAATCGATGGCATGTGACCATCTTCAGGCCAGATGGGCGTATAATCGTGTTGCTGTAAACCTTCAAATGGGTTGCGAAAATGTCCTGTTTCAGCTTGTCACAAATAATAGCTGAAAGGGAGACTTAGCAGTTCCTTAGCCGGCGCTCATTGTCGAGGTGAGCAAACTGGCACGCTACGGCTTGGCGTGACATGGCAAGGCTGACTCCCATGAAAGGGAAACGCTAGAACACGCCAACACGTTGACATGCCTGTCAGTTCTGGGGTGTATGTTGAATATTTTACATGATGCTTGAATGGGTGGAATGTAGTGAAAGAGTCTCTCGCAGGTCAATCGTGGAGCTTGGGGCCCCACGATACAGCTGACCAGCTGCAGTGAGCCTCAGCATCTGGGCGTCTCTGCAGGATCCTGGAGAAGTTCCGCTGCATTTGGGGTTCGCTGTTTCGTCACGGTGGTGGAAAGCCCCAGAATGTTCTGCACATCCTTATTAATGATGGCATTACTAGTATCACCTTGCCCTCTGAGGAGACCCAAATCGCGCCAGGAAAACACGGCCCACGCGATGGCGGTCCCGCCAGAACCCGGCACCGTGGGACGGGACCGCTGGAGTCTGTAAGCTTCCTCTGGCAGGTGCCACGCACTGACTGGTCCGCTTGTTGCGGGCAGGGTGAAGGGTGACTCATCCGACCATGTGACTTCTTCCACCGCGCAGGAGGTAAATGTGTGTTCTCCTTTACATCACCACGCTTGCCGGAGTGAAAATGGTGTCGGCGCACTGAAACATGAGCGTATGAACCTGACGGCGGAGGAGTACACGCTTTCATCCACGGCTGCCTATAGCTGATGACGTCCTCCCTCCCTTCCACATCAGCATTGCTTCAGCAACCGTTAAGCATGAAACATTAGCAAACAGACGGGAGATCCACCCCTCTCTCAAAGTCACAGGGACGTCCTCTTCAGACTGCGTCAGCCAGAATGACAGGCATGTCCAGGATTTCACATGTGACCTTACAGAATCAAAATCAGAATCTTTATTGTCTCATGACCAAGGCTGTTGAAATTTTTGTTGGCACATTGTGCTACTGTTGAAGATACCATGGGAATATACAATTAAGGCATAATGCTGACAAAATAAATAGGAGAGACAAGATCAAAGGCAAAACTCATTGGGGGGGTGGGGGGTGGGGGTTGAGGTCTCCATCCATTTAAGGGGAGACATGATTATTGGCGGGGTTGTATTGGACGGTTACAACCCCCCCAAGTAATTTACGCCCATGAACAAGATACACACTCGCCTTACCGCGTATCCTGCGGTCACACCACTGCGCGTGACACTCTGTATGCGATGCCAGTGTGCAAAAGGCGTCTTATCAATCATGTTAAATTAAAATAACTGTCCATTATTGCTGTTACTTAACAGATGTGTTTATCTGGTGTGATTCATGCAGTTACAGCTTTACTCACGTATGCAGAGGCTAGGGTTACGGTGGGGATTTTACTGGAGCAGCTTAACTGCCATTTATCAGGTAAAAACTCAGAACGCCTCCTGACACTTATCGGTCATCCCTTGGGTTAGAAAAATAAACGTTTTGAACTTCTGTGCAGGGATCGTGAAGTTGTCCGTAAACGGACAAACGCGTCAGTTGCAAGAGTCGTATAAAAACACCCGTATCAGTTACGTCTCTAAATACCACGTTTGTTAAAGAAAAAAATAATATATTTTTTTATCATAATGACCGTCAGGATTCGCCATAGTGTTATCCCCCGCTTGTATGTTTTGTCTGTCTCCCTAATTCGGTCCTGAAATGTCACATTGCTTTTCGATATAGTAAATAACGGTATTATCCTATGAACACACATCATTAAATAACATTTCACTCAGCACGACATTATCACTCCCAAAGGGATAAACGTCGCGCTGCGCTGCCCCCCAGTCCCCTCGCCCTTGCTGTGTCTGAGATTCACGTCCATCTGTGTTTTCCCGTTTCGCCATGGAACAGATGACGGATTTTCGAATTTGCGAGGCGAAAGTTTGTGGTGAGGCGAGAGCTGATAGTGTCACTTATTAGCGAAGCGATTTCACCGATTAGTGAACAGGCGGGATCGAAGCTCCCATGCAGGCTGATGCACCGATTTATCCTTTGCACCGGCCGAAGCGTCGTTTTCAAAGCGTTTGTCGATTCGCTTAACATTACTAATACTGCCGCAATTTTGAATAGGGCTGCATTATGTGTATATTTGGTTATTTATTTGGCAAATAACACCAATAATAATCCCCACGACCCTGACAGGATAAGGGATTAAATGGACGGATGAATAATAATGTACGTATAATAACAATATAAATATTATTATTATTAATAATAATAATAATAATAATAATAATAATAATAGGCTGGTTTTACCAGCAGATAGCGCCAGTTCTCAAACACTAAAAAGTTGCCCCGTAGGTGATTTAACGCAGGCGCAAAGCACGCCGTCCGTCCAGTTACTCTGGTTCACTTACCTGAGGAGTAACCGGTTTCGGTGAAGGAAGGAAGGGAGGGAGGGAGCGATAGAGGGAGGGAAAGGGAGAGAGGAGACAATACGAGCGAGTGCGCGGCTCCGTGTGTGAGACGGGCACCGAATCAGACAGGCTGCCGATCCGCAGGCTGTCAGGAGCGCACCGGGGAGCGGGTCGCTCGGAGCGCCGCACGGACACTCAGGCAGGGCGGTATCAGTCAGCTCCAGGTGAGGGCGGATCTCCCTGAACTTACGCGGGATTCCTTCTCGGACACACGCACTTTTGATGGATCGCTGTTGAACGTTTTGGAACTTCAGCCCCCGATGGCTGGCCATAGTATGAGCGGTGCAGTTTCGATTTGAGAGGTTTTCCGATCGAGCAGATCGAGCCGTAGTGTTACGGTAACAGCTGTGCGTTACTTCCGTCATACATCCAGCTGCCAGAAGGGAGAAGATGATGGGATTTCTGCGGCGGACCTTCTCCAGGCGCTCCATGCGGCGCTTCCAGACGCCGGACGAGGCGGACGGCGCGGTGCGGCGCGCAGGCGGGGGTCCGATCCCGGCGCTGCAGGCGCACCAGCAGCAGGTCGTCCACGCTCCAGCCGTGGTCACCGGGGGGGCCGTGGTGCACATTCCTGCTGCGGGGAACAACAAGTCCGTCATGACCTGCAGGGTCCTGCTTCTGGACGGGTCGGACGTCAACGTGGATCTACCGGTCAGTCCAACGACGGCTCTTAAGGCTGATGCGTGTTTTGAGAGCATGTCAGTGAAATGCTGCTTTGCATGCACGTCGTGGCCGGATTCCGTGCTGGGAAAACTTGTCAGCCGCCGTAGGGGAGTTGCAGGCGTTATTAGCTGGGTCTGCGATGCTGACTGCAGCAGGTGAATAGGACATAAGCTCATTATTCGTGTTATGTTGCAGCTTCCCCATTAAATGTTTTCATGGTGTGTGTGAGCCTGGGTGGCTGTTTGCTGTCAGGACTGGTTAAACAGGTCCCTTAGCTGGACTAGCTTTCCTGTCACCGCAGGGTTTGGGACTATCCCAGGCGCTTGGGAAGGGTCCTACACGTTCTTCACCCCTAGGATCAAGTGCCCTAAGGTGCTGATTGTGCATTTTGGACCTGCTTGAGGAAATGGATCTTGTAGCTTTGAAGACTATTAAAGTATAACCAGGTGTTATCTCCAACTGTGTTTTTTGGACAAGTTTGATTAGCTGTGAAACTGAAAGTTTGTCCTGTTTGGTGGCCCGATGAAGAAGTTTCATCTGCCCTGTATATGTTCCTCATACTGGTTGGGAATTCCCAGCAGAGTCGGAGCTATAGATGTCCATATTGGGCTGCCATTTCATCCGGACAGCACTGAGGACGCGGAGCGTGTCGGGCAGCTGAGCTCCGTGCTGTGTTTACACGGTCGTCACAGGGAACGTGTGGCGGCGGTGTCACCCCATTGGTGGGGAATCCATGGTATGACATCAGAGCAGAGTTTCCAGGCAGCGCGTGACGTCAGCTGCACCCAGAGCGGGAGCGTAATTGTAGTGTGAGGGCGGGCGACCCTTTCCCCGGCCCCCCATGCTTGCCAGCCTCCTGAAGGGGGTGGCACAGCAGTAATGGGGGGTGGCATTCAGGGGTGTGCTGCACAACCGCGTCTCCACTC